AACTCACGTCATCAAAGAAATTGCGCAGGAAGACATTCTTGATGTCAATCTAGGATGTCAGAGATCATGGTGGTAACTGCTTAACCCAATAAAATGCTCCTCCAGCAAGTGAATACTTGAAGAACTTGCAAAATAGATAGTCCTCAGGGACTCCATTGGCTTTGATAGAAGATACTAGATCCTGAAACCGCTCTAGATGATCCATGGGATGCTCATTTCGCAATCCATGGTTAGTGTCTGCGCTACAAGTGCGAAGAAAGATGGCTTGATCTCGAAATCATTCCTCTAAAAAGCTGGAGGGCGAATGGTGGATCTGTTGGCATAGTACTGGTTAGGACTGTTGTAGTCTGCCAATGTTCTTGTCTGAGCAGATTGGGCATTAGCTTCAGGTTTAGTTATTGCAGCGTCTGCTTCTACTTCTGGTTTAAAGATTACAGCCCCCTGATCGTTGATTCTCTAACCTGCTGCATTACGCAGATGACCCTTCAAAGTCATGTAGGTTTTGATTCTCGTCCCTAACCAAAACGATTGTAGCAACCATCTGAACTCGCCTGTCACTGTCGATCGATGGTACGCCGATGAAGTCGATCGACGTTGAATTTAGAGAAGTTTCGCTCAATGTTTTGTAACGAATGTCGATTAATGCTTGTCGCTTCTATTTGCGGGTTGAGCGTTCTATTGCTACTGTGTTTGAGAATAGTAACTCTTGCTCCTTGTTGCTTCTGGTACTTTTTTGAGTATGCATCTGTAACACAAGAAAGAAGAATTATCAGTATTGAACAAAATTTAAAAGAAACCTAAACTAAATCTAGAAAACAATTCTAATGGTGATCTTTTCTCCCCGGAAACGGCGCCAAAATTGACAGGAAATTTCGTTAGGGTTTAACGATCTAATTCAATCTATTAAATTACCCTATGAAACTACAATACTCTTGCCAAGAGAAGTCGAGTTGAAGTACTTAAGAATCGAATCCACACAGAGCAAAGGCACACAATAGATTTGTATTATCCTAATGATTCAGCTAGATGATGATTTTATATAGGTTATCAGGTTTGAGTAAACATAAAATATTCTAAACTTATTTAAATTCTGATATAGAAAATAGATAGATTTAGGGTTTAGGCATGTGAATTATAATTAGTAGAATACATGGTTACACTAATATGATAAGACTACATTGTCAACTAATTTGACCCCCCTTGTTCCAACTATCGCTATGAACATAGAGAACCACCATCGATCAACGATGTAACACTGTGTCGGTCAAAGGTAAAATCAGACTGGAAGTATGACGAGTTTGATATTTCCACTATATTGATCAACTAGCTTTCGCATGCATTTAACAACCTAGTTCAACAGAATTTATTCAGGCACATAACCTACTTTCACAGTTTTCTATGTCCTAAGTTAAAGGTTCTAGTTAACTACTCTAGAACACATGCATTAAAAACCATTCTAACTGATGGATATTAATCATCCTAATAATTCTAGTTTTGGCTAACGCAATGATACCACTAAGAACCTTAAATCTAACAAATTAAACTACTCAGACATCAACAAACATATAAGACTGAATAGAATGCATGGAAAATAAACCAGAGTTCCAATACAAAACTATGAAGAAGTCTTGATCTCCTCCCCTAAAACAATATGAAAAACTTTAGAAATAAAAAGCTCGTCCATCTACCTAAAAAATGGTAGAAACTTTTATAAATTAAATAAAATCCGTCCAAGTCGGTCTGGACAAAGTCGGGTCTGTGCGCTTCAAACCATCGATCGACGCCAAGGTGGCTCTGTCGATCAACGCCAATCTTGTATTTCGACTCTAACTTAACTGATTCTTGTCAGCTACGGGTTTTTTCATCGAAAATGCTCTATATGCTCCACATAACTCCAAAACATACCTAGACCTATAAAGATTCTAAAACATAGTCTAGACACACATAATAGACTCCAAATGGGGTTCATAACATGATCTAAAACTGGTAAATAATTAGGCATATCATCTCCACATCACCGACAAGACTCAACTGACCCTATTAAACCTTTGTCGGTGAATCATTTCTCCAATACAGAGATCTTGTATTAGTCTTCTCTGCGCTTCAAGTGAACGCCACATTGGAGAGGCGAGGAGAGACCCGAACTGGAACTGAAAAGACTTTGAACATAGAAGGCCAAAGCAAATCATGGCCGAAGAAGTGAAGTCGACTTGACAAAGGAAGAGAAGTTGCAGGAAGGAAGGGTGGATAGTCATAGACGACTTCGACCCTAACTGCACACACCAAAACCACAGTAGCATAGCCACTACACTTGCACGAGCAGGTGATGAATCAAAACCGCCTTTCCTGAGAAAAAGCCAAAACCTCTGACTAACGGAGAGACACTAAGCCGCTGTGAGAAGAATTCTCTCAACTCCAAACAGAACGAAAATACTCTTCAAATACAACACAGTTGAGAACCAAGAGGAAAGAGTCCGCTGAACCTCCACACATCTCCCAGCAAAGTAAAACCAAGAAATGCCAAAGACAAAACCAATAGAGCCAACTTCGCTTACCCCAATCATCATATGCTTCGCTGGAACTCTAGATAGAAGAAGAACCACCGCATATCCAAACCTTCCCAGAGCAGATTTAGAAGCCCTGTGGCGGAGCAACTCCCACAGTGCCAAGCATCTCCATGGAGAGAGGAAGAGGGATGAAACATTAAAAAAAAAAAAAAAGGAAGAGATGATGAAGGATTTGTTGGTGACCATGCGCTAAACGGATGACCACCAAAGTAGATCAAAGTAAGTCGTGAAAAAAGAGGTTGGAGATATTTTTAGAGAGAAAAAAGGTTAAAATATCATAGATTACAGGTGTTACATATATTCACCACTTTCTACAGATCATGAAACCTCAAGACTTTGTACTCTTGTAAAAATTTCATTAGAGATATGACTACAACTGTGCTGGATCTCTTTTACTTTTATACTCGTTATGTAACATGTTTTCATGCACATGTTTCCTTAGGAATATTACTACATCTTTTTTTATCTTTGGCAATTAATTCTTTTTTTAGTCAAACACTTTATATACTGTTGAATATTTCTGACTATATGAATTTGTTTTTTTAAATAAATAAATAAATTAATTAATTAAATAATATTAAATTTAAATAACCATTTATATGAATAATGAAAATGACTACAAACCAATTCTGCTTAAATAAAAAACGCACAAATTATGGTGAAAATCTTCAGTAGTGAATTCTCTGACAAATAGACCACAAACAAAACTAAAATTACAACTACGGCTAGGCTAAAATTCTAATAAAAAATCACGGATCCTGCCTCGTTTCACTTGCCGCAGGAACGAATCTGACCTATTTGAAAATTTTGATTTGTGGATGCGGATATTATTGTGGGGTAGGTATAGGTCAGTCAAATTTAAATCACGGGTACATGCCCACCTGTAGAATTTAAAAAAGAAAACATATTAAAAAAAATAAAAAAAAAAGTTCTTTTAAACAATAATTTAAAATTTTAAAACATATATACAATTTTACTTATAAATATATAATTTAAATTATCTTTTTTAATCATTAAAAATATATAAAATAATAGAAATATCTCCTCAAAGATCCTACAAATTTTGTTTGACCAAAGAGCACATAAGAAGACAACAACTAAAAAATGTTTTATTAAAGAGGTAAATGACATATATACTCTTACTCTATAAATATATTAAATATAAATAAATACTGAATAAATAAAAAAAGGAGAAAAGAATAAATTTATATTTCATTATTGGAAAAAAATTTATTCAACTCAAAAGTTTTCGACTTTTCTCAAAAAAAAAATTCAAAATTTGTTTTAAAAATCTAAATATTATTTTTTGAGCATATTTTTAAAATTGTTTAAATATTGAATTTTAATTATATGTTTTTTAGAAAAAATACGAAACCCCACATCCCTCTCCCCTCAAAAAGAATTCTCCCTCAAATTTAAATTGTAGTGTAGATTAGTTAATTTTAGGTGTATAAATTTATTTTCCCTCTTTAATGAATCTGTTTTGGAATTGTGACCCTTGTGTACTATAGTTGTGATAAGGGAATTTTTTTTAACTATCACAAACTATATCTCTTCTTAAATATTATCATATATATCATATGCGGGTTATGCAGTTCATCCGATAAATTAAACAAAACGGTTGCAGATCATCCGCTAAATCAAGCGAACAAGTGTGGGTGTATTTTTCTCCTTACGAGTTTGATAAGTCAAATTTTTGAATTAAAAGAAAATTAACCCGTAACAAGGTGGGTCGGACGTACCGGATTTGACCTGCTTTTTTAGCACTAGTTACAACCACACATAAAGTAGTAACTAACCAAACACCTTTTATATAATATAAAATCTAAAGATAGTTCTTTAAAATTTTATGAAAGGAAAATAAAACATATGAATGAAACAAATGAATGAAATATAAGTGTATCTATTGGTTGTGAGTACTCCCATATGAAAAGTGTGAAACAACAATTATCATTGGCGGTAAAGAGTTTTAAAGAACAACCAAAAAAAAAGTTTATAATGGTTAAAACTATTAGATTACCTAATAAAATTCTGAAAGTTACAGATTCAAGTCATGTTGGAAAGGGTTTGATTGTAATGTTACTGATCACGCCAGATATGTATGGACTAGCTAGGGCCAAAAGAACCTTCTAGTTTGTTTGTTTTTTTTGCCTAATAAGAACCTTCTAGTCTATTACAGAAACACATTATTTGGATCACATTTTAGTACTTGATAATTGATTGCTTAACACTTGTTTTAGGTTGGAATTGAGACACTTCCTCAAGTAACATGGCAACGGAAGTTGAATGACAAAGTAAAGAACCCTTCTGAGTTCAAGATGAGTACAAAAGATATTGTTCATCTGGTACCATTCCTTTTTTTGCTCTATACAAGATTAAATCAAAATGATTAAAAAATATTTTATTCAGATATTTGGATATTAAAACCGTTTTATGCGTGTGGCTTTCCTGAAGTTTCCAATAGGCTACAGATTGTGGCGTCACACTAAAGAAGAAGCAGAAAAAGGAAGAGTAAGTTGCTTTATTTCTACGAAACCAAAACTGTCTTAAGTAGCAAATTCTGAAACTTCCATATAACTGGAATGATGACTTGCAGGTTTCGATTTACGATATCTTCAAAAAGAGGCATGTAACAGGCGACCATGGTGTTCCTTTAGGTGGAATTGGGTATGCATAAACAGAGAACAGAAGATTAATTTTGTTATAAGTAACATTTGATCTTTCTTTATAAATGTTGTTTAATTAAGCAAAACCGGCATGTATAATAATAGTGCAGGAAGCATTGGAAGGAGTTACAAAGGTCAGTTCCAGCAGTTCAAGCTCTTCCCTAAAGTTTGTGAAGAAGCTCCAATCCTCACAAACCAGTTCTCTGTAAGTCCTCCCTTCTCCTAAACAAAGGTGTTTACTTCTTGATTCCATCTCTAATGGTTTTTGATAATGAGATCAGGTTTTCGTTTCGAGACCCGGTGGTGTGACTTACTCAACTGTTCTATGCCCAATAAAGCCAGAATCTGCAAAGTAAGCCCTATAGTATATCTTTCCTTGGATCATTTAGTCACAAATGTCGTTGCTAATGAAGTTAATGTAATCTATGCAGTGGTAAAACAAAGGATTTTGGAATAAGCTCATGGGACTGGAACATGAAGGGCGACAAGTCTACATATCATGCTCTCTATCCGCGGTCTTGGACCGTCTACAACGGTATACAGTGATATATTTATGGTTCACTATAGATCAAGATATACTAGATCCACGATTGATAAATGTTTATGACATTGGAGAATAGAGCCTGACCCTGAACTAAGAATAGTTTCTCGTCAAGTCTCGCCTTTTATACCCCATAACTATAAGGACAGCAGTCTTCCGGTGTCGGTTTTCACCTTTACGGTAAAGAGTATTCCTAATGAACTTTTGTTTTTATCTAAGAACATTATAACAAATATGTGTGCTTTCGGCTATACAGGTGACTAATCTTGGAAAAGAAGAAGCAACGGTTACTTTGCTCTTTACCTGGGAGGTGACTAATCTGAAAAAATAAGAAAAGAAAAAAAGAAGATATCTATTGCTCACATATCTGAATTTTAATTAAAATTTCTTGTCTGGGAATTTACTTAGAACTCAGTGGGAGGAGCTTCTGGGTCAACTGGAGAACACTTCAACTCAACAATGCTGTCAGAATCTCAAATATCTATTGTCATAGCTTTTGTTATGATTTAATAACCTGATATAGGATATGATAACAGGGAAAATGACGGGATACATGCAATAGCTTTACGTCACAAGTAAACCTCTTTTACTTGAGCATTGCATAACTAAAACTTCCTCTGTTTAGCCCTTTTCTGGCAGGAGTTACTGTCGGTTTTTAGAAGATTTTTTTTTCATCGATATTGTTAACCAATTATGATTCGAAGGCTTATTAACTTGCAGGACATCCAATGAACACCCACCAGTTACTTATGCCATTGCAGCGCAGGAAACAGAGGGTGTTTGTATCTCTGAGTGTCCATGCTTCTTGGTTTCTGGTTATTCTCCTAAAATGATAACAGCAAGAGATATGTGGGATGAAATTAAAAAGGTTTCATTTTTTTCTTCTCATTTTCCTACGACCTCTGAATCTCTTCCAAAAGAAAAAAAAAGAAAAAGAAAAAGATTCCTGAATTGTCTTTTTTCTTTCAGAATAAATCATTCTATGGTTTAACCAGTGAGCCAGGCTCACCTTCGATGCCTGGAACAAACATTGGAGCAGCCATAGCCGCTACAGTGACGGTTCCTCCAGGCTGTGACCGTACAGTCACATTTTCCCTCTCATGGGACTGTCCTGAAGTGCGATTTAGTGAAAAGACTTACCATAGGTGTGACCTAATGAATTCAAATTTCCATGTATATATATAGCTTCATATTAACCTAATGTAAAATCTTCTTATGTACAGACGATACACAAGATTCTATGGCACTTTAGGCAAAGCAGCAGTGAATATGGCTCGCGACGCTTTACTTAGTACGCACGCAAGTTTTTTTTTTTTTTTTTCATTTCGATTTCTTCTATTGTACGACTCTAATATGATGTTTCTACAAGATTATGTTGATTGGGAGTCTCAGATCGAAGAATGGCAAAACCCTGTTCTTTCAGACACATCATTTCCTGACTGGTAACCTACCTACTTTCGCTTCCAATCTTCTCTACCAAGCTATTAAGAAACCGTTGATATATCTCAGGTACCGAGTCACTCTTTTCAATGAGTTATACTATTTCAACTCCGGAGGGACGATTTGGACAGGTAGCTAGTTAATTTACTAACAAACAACTGAAGAAGGTCTCTCATGACGCTTTTTCATTGTCCATAGATGGCTTGCCCTACAAGCAAAGCATAAAAAGTAGCAAGGTGTCAGAAACAGAACAAAACAGTGTTGACATAGACATCCTCCACAAAATAAATGCAGTCTGTGTGAAGAAGTTTCACCACCCTCCTCAGCTACAGAACGCTGAAGAGAATATTGGTCAATTCATCTACCTCGAAGGAATTGAGTATCTAATGTACAACACATACGATGTTCATTTCTACTCTTCATTTGCACTTCTCATTCTCTTCCCTAAGCTCGAACTCAGCATCCAAAGAGACTTTGCAGCAGCGGTTCTGGTTCGCGATTCCAACAAGAAAGAGATCATGAGCTCGGGCGAATGGGTCCCAAGGAAACTTCTTGGTTCAGTTCCTCACGACATCGGTCTGAACGATCCGTGGCTCGAACTCAACGCATATAACTTCTTTAACACGGATTCTTGGAAAGACTTGAACTCCAAGTTTGTTCTTCAAGTCTACAGAGACGTGGTTGCCACTGGTGACCAGAGCTTCGCAAGAACGGTTTGGCCGTCTGTTTACATAGCGGTTGCTTACTTAGATCAGTTCGATAAAGACGGAGACGGGATGATTGAGAACGAAGGGTTTCCAGATCAGACGTACGATGCTTGGCGTGTTACAGGGGTTAGTGCTTATTGTGGCGGTCTATGGGTCGCTGCTCTTCAAGCTGCGTCCGCGTTTGCTAGTATTGTTGGCGAAAACGCTGTAGCCGTTTACTTCAATGCAAAATATGAAAAGGCTAAAAGTGTTTACGAAAAGCTATGGAACGGTTCTTACTTCGACTATGACAATAGCGGTTGCCGTTCTAGCTCCTCAATTCTTGCCGATCAATTGGCTGGACAATGGTAAGATACAACTCAACCGCTGCGTTTGCGTTTTTTCCTTCTCAAATCGCAGTCCCTAATGAAGCAGCGTTTGTAGGTACGCTAGAGCGTGTGGGTTGAAGCCGATAACGAAAGAAGAATGGATAAAGAAAGCGCTCGAGACGATCTATGAGTTTAATGTGATGAAGGTGAGAGGAGGAACACGTGGCGCAGTAAACGGAATGACACCAAAAGGACAAGTGGACACGAGCTCGCTGGTTTCAAAGGAGGTTTGGGCTGGAACAACTTACTCTGTTGCAGCTTGTATGATTCAAGAAGGACAAAGAGACAAAGGGTTTCAGACAGCAAGTGGAATCTACGAAGCTGTTTGGTCTGATCGTGGTCTCAGGTAAGCTCACTCACTCTTGTGTTTCATTAGACACAAAACAAAGGTTCCACTTAAAACCTAATTAATTACCGCACAGAGGTACTTATCGAATTTTTGTGGCTCTTGTGTGTTTTGGTGCAGTTGCTCGTTTCAGACACCAGAAGCGTGGAACATGAATGACGAATACAGATCTTTGTGTTATATGAGACCTCTTGCTATATGGGCTATACAATGGGCACTGACAAGTACACAATCTTTTGGAGATGAGCAAAAGTTCATGGAAGGTGACGAAGAAGAAAGTGATTTATTGTTGAGACAAGACAACAGGTTCAAAGAAGTGGCTCGCTATCTGAAAATAGCAAAGAGCAACGAGCATAGAAGCCGTCTCCAAGTAGCGTACGAGGCAATCCTAGATACACTCCACTTATAGCCGGTTTACATTGCTCGACATTTTTACATCAATATTTATTGTGTGAAGAAACAAAAATATGTATCCTAATAATAAGACGGCTCTCTAGAGCCTACCAAGATCCTGGTTACGACATTTTCCTTGATGTTGGGAAGACAAAAATCTTTTGAAGCAGTTGAATCCTAAAATTCAATCAGAAATAGGGTTTGCGTTTCCGGTGACTAGTTAAAAGAGTTGTTTAAAAAGAAAAGCTTGGAATATGATCAACTATGAAAAGGGATGTTTATTTGGGTGAACCAAAATTTGCACTATCGATTTCCATAAAATAAGGAAATTTAGGAAATTCCTAATTTTTCAGAGGACCCGGATCTCTGCGAAATCAACCTACAGGTAACCAAATAAATACGAAAAATATGAAAACATGATAAAACAAATTTATAAAAGAAATAAATCTTATTTCGAATTCGCGTAAGAGCGTTGCGATCATTACTAGAGATTACAAAGGCTTTGGCCTCAGGGGCCGTCAGCGAGTTACCTAGTTCTAGCTACATAAAACCCTAAACCTAGTTGAGTCACAGCTCGATAACAAAAGACGAAAAAGATAAGAAAAAGGGTTTTGGTAAATCGTGAAAGCTCGAGTAAATCATATAAAATGGCAGCGGTTAAATGAAACACCGAACATTGCCAAACTATACGATTAGCTCGAGATTTTTAATAAAAGATCACTAAAAATGCGCTTTCTCGTAAAACCTCGAGTAAATCGTATAAAACGGCAGCGGTTAAACGAAACACCGAACATTGCCAAACTATACGATTAAGTCGAGATGTTTTATTAAAAACCGCAAAATACGCGTTTTCTCGTAAAAGCTCGAGTAAATCGTATACAATGGCAGCGGTTAAATGAAACACCGAACATTGTCAAACTATACGATTAACTCGAGATTTTTAATAAAAGATCACTAAAAACGCGTTTTCTCGTAAAACCTCAAGTAAATCGTATAAAACAGCAATGGTTAACCGAAACACCGAACATTGCCAAACTATACGATTAATTCGAGATGTTTACTTAAACACGGCATCGTACCAGGAAACGATCTCGTCTAAAGTTGTAAAATGGTTAAATCGTAAAACGGCCCGAAAAGTCCTAAAACGCGAAAAAGGCCCACTCGTGACTTAGAATAAGGTCCAGCCCAAAGATAAATGACGGTTTGCCTATTATCCGTAGAAGTAGAAAAATGGAAAGATCGAGATAACTGGAAGATTTCCGATAAGCACGAATCAAGGCAGAAAAGGAAAGACCAAACTGCCTAGAGAAGGAGTATACAAGCAGAAGATCGAGGACAGAAGCAAGGACGATTTTCAGAACTCTCATCTGAGACTTTTACAACTTTTCTAGACTTAGAATTCTCTTCACTTAGAAACTTAGGCTTTATTCTCGACAAGTTCGGTTTCTATGACTGGCGCTCAATTACTAGACGAACTCGCCAAGGCAGTTCAATCTCTTGTCCAGCTCTATTAACTGAACTACGTTTGACTTGATCCTCAAAAGGGGTACGTTGGAAGCCTTTCATAAGGTTCAGTCCGAAATCAACCATAACCCTTTTTTCTTATCTTTTTCGTCTTTTGTTATCGAGCTGCGACTCAACTAGGTTTAGGGCTAGAACTAGGTAACTCGCTGACGGCCCCTGCGGCCAAAGCCTTTGTAATCTCTTGTAATGATCGCAACGCTCTTACGCAAATTCGAAATAAGATCTATTTCTTTTATAAATTCGCTTTATCATATTTTCATATTTTCTGCATTTATTTGGTTACTTATCGTTGGCTTTCGCAGAGATCCAGGTCCTCTGGAAACTTAGGATTTTCCTAAGTTTCCTTATTTTACGGAAATTGACAGTGCGAATTTCGGTTCCCACAGTTTGGCGCTAGAAGGAGGGGGGTCGGATTACTCTAACTCATAGCCGTAAAACGCTTGATCAAAACGATGTCTGGAAATATGAAAGACAAAGTTGCATCTCGCAAAAATGCTGGTAAAAGAACTTCTGCAGCGACTACTCATATAGTCAACGCTCTCACAAACGCTGTAATACTTGAAAAAATCGAAAACCTAATCGCGATTTTTCGCCACGGGAAGAGCAACAAAACAAGCTCGCGATTTCTATCTCAGATCACTAAGGGCAACGATAAAATTTATCCAAACCCCATAGTGTTTTTCTTATTTCCGAGTGGGACAAATCTCATTACGTATGGGTTGATCAAAAGACGTTTTCCGAGAACTTTTCGGAAAAATAAAACTTGCTCTCCCAGAAACCGCGGAATAAACCCTAAGTAACTTACGGGAAAAACCCTAGGCTACTCGCAAAATTGGACGATACTATCCAGTTCAAAAAGACGGTGAGCTGATCAGCCTTTCACCTCGCCTTCTAGGCACTAACTTTGCCCCGAGGGTCTTTACCATCCAGCTTGTCTGTTGGCGAGCTGAACCGTTCAAACCAGCTTGCCAGTTTGCGAGCTGACCACGGCAAAACCAGCTCGCCTATTGGCGAGATGATCGGCCTTTCTCCTCGCCTTCTAGGCACTGACTTTTCCCCGAGGGTCCGACCATCCAACTTACAACCATGGTGATAAGGGTTTTTAAGCCTCAGAGCAATTCGATGAAGTATTTAAGATTGTCGAACCACATGGAACTAGTGATCTAAACACTAAGAATACACAAACTTTCTTAATCTAAGCAAATAAGAGAGGTGGATGATTGTAACAAGCTAAGATCCTAAAATTATAAACAAAGGTGATCTCAAATCCAATCAAGAAATAGATGCAAGAACAAATTCAATCAATGATAAGGTAGAATCCATGGGATTAAGGCAATTGATCTAAAGCAATTAAAGTTTCAATCAAAATGTTCCTTAAGTCTAAACAACTTAACTAAGAAAATTCTAGGTCTACACAAATGCTCATTTGCTTTCATTAATCAAACACAAATGCTCATTTGCTTTCATTAATCAAACACAAATGGTCATTGGATCAATTAATTCAAGCAATCATTAAGAATAGGTTTAATAACTATCTGAGACTCCCTAGATACAAATGGTCATTGGCTAGGTAATCTTAAAGCTAAGGAGAGTTGATTCGGACATTTAAACATACACCTTGTGGGCAGAAAATGACTAAGGTTCAATCCTAGAGTGATCAAGTCTAGAATAGCATTAAACACACTCAACTAACAAGGAAACACTTAGATCTACACTTAATCACCTTAGATCTACCTAACCCATGAATTCTAAAAGTGTCTACTCTTTAATCTCCATGAGAAACCTTAAATTCATGATGGATTTAAGGCTAATCATGTTAATGAGAATGAGAAACAAGATACATGATGAAATACTTCCTTAAAATGATATAAAGGTTCTAAGCTTTTACAATTAGAAACAAGTTCTTGAGAGAAAATGAGATACACTAGGGTTTTTGGGGTCTAAAACTATATATAGAAGGTCCAAATTCGAGTTGGTTTGACCAGATTTAACCGGGTCAAACCGGAATAAACCGGTCAAACCATGCACATCCAGCTTCACCGCGGCCATCAACCACCTGCGATCATGAGCCGCGGTCATTCTCTTCGCTTCGCAGCCTCGTCTCGCCGCGGTGTCACCCGCGAAACTTCCCTGGTAGTTTAATCGACGCTTGGCCGCGGCTGGCTTCGTCCCGTGGTGGTTAACCCGCGAAATCAGTCTGGTACATCGCGCCCAAGCTTGCATCGCGAAACTAAGACACGAACTCCACTTCTCCGCCGCTTTGCTCCACCACGGAATCTCAAGTTCTGGCCGTGCCTCTGCTGCCTGTCGTTGCCCTCGTCTTCGTTTTGCTCTGTCGTGGCCGTCATCCGCAGCTCACCGCCGTCACCCAGCTCTCACCCGTGACCTGCAATTCGTCTCCTTCAAGCTCTAAACCACGAGAAAGCTTCCTCATCAACAGAAACCTCCGTCATCACCATCTCCTTCGCTGTGGTCATCTCTACCGTCGTGGTGGCCGCCGGGACCGGCGAAATCAGCCTCGCCGTCAACAAATCGTGAAGCTCGTGCCTTCCATGGTATATTTTCTGCTTTTTACATATTAGGTCCTTGAACTTCTGTTTGTTTACAAATCAGCCCCAAGCTTTAGATTTTGCAGATATGCCTTCCCCAATCAACACCTGGACTTCCAATTGTGCAATTTAACCCCCAACCAATATTCTGAATTGCAGCATTGGTCCCTGGCTTCTTGTGAACAACATATTGGACCTAAAACTTTCAAAATGTGCATTCCAACCTCTAATGTATACAAATGAACATATATGCAATCTAGACAACTAAATGCAACTCAAAACACTAATATGATTAAGAAAAAAGATGATAAAAACTATTAAAAACACTACATATCACATGGTGAGCCTGATCGTACTCCAAACAATAATCCCACTGCTTTTCGTTTCGTCTCAATCGGAGTTTCCGTTGAGATTTTACGACGAAACCAAGTCGGCTCGACGAATCGGGACTGCACTCACCGACTCGCCAGTGGGCGAGTTGGACAAGCTCGACGGATCGAAACGTTTCTATCTTGAATCCCTATCGAAACACTTTTCATTTCGTCCCAATCGGAGTAACCATTGGAACTTTACGATAAAAACCACAAAGACTTGCTTCCTCGTATAAGTTCGAATCGATCGTCTAAAACGGAAATGGTTGACTCAACACTAAACTACACGAGAGATTTGAACTATCTAAACGCAATCCGGTTTTTCGTAATTCTGCCACGGTAAGTCGAAAACATCTTATCATAAATGTGTGATGGATTTTTCGACAATATACGAAGCACACTTCGTCAGAAGTACGGAAAAAAAAAACATAAACTCCGGTGATGAAATCCCTTCCTCAGTCCGATGTTCTTGATGGTATTTCATCGAAGACCGATTCATACAAAAATAAGTCAAAGAACGAAGAAGAGGCAGTCCCAAATCATCGATGAAACTAAGGTATATCTGATTTGAAAATTTTATTAGACTTCTAGTTTCTTGTAGGCAAGGAATGAAAACGTCTTGTAAACTGCCTTAAAACTTAGATAACTTAGAATTTAGGGGATATTCTAGCATGCTAAGTCGTAGGCAATATTTTTCTATCTCGATCTATTGTTCTCTAACTATTCAGGCATAACTCGCAAACCAATCTATTCTCTCGTACAACCGAG